CAGCTCTTCTCTTGCTGCGAACACACGTATAAAGTCCAAACTGACAAAATCTCATTACTCTCCGCCCTCTGTGACAAGGTTCGTTTAGCTACTGAGCCGAGACATTCATAGAATCATAAATTTTCTTTTAAAGATGTTTTTTTTTTTTTTTTTTCTACCCCCCCGTGTGTTTGATAGGAGGGTGGCACACCCATGTGGGTTTTCACCCGGAGCGCCCTTATTAATGTAAAAAAAAAAAAATAAATTTTTCGTTTGCTCTTTCCTTTTGCCGAAAGGGGGGGGGTTTTTTTTTTTCCGGGGGGGGGGGGGGGGGGGGGAGGATTTTTGTTGCCACAACGGAGCACTTACGTTATCTCCCCTTAAAGCATGCAGTGTGGGTTTGATCCCCCCACATTGACGGTAAAAGATTTTCTGATCCCCCCTCTTCTATCCCGGCCACCACAAAAGCCAGTGTTAATATATGTAAGCCAGTGACATCTATATTAATACTTAACCTAGAACAACAACTTCACATATTTGGTCATCTGATATGAACTGAATTGTCTGATGGTCCGTCCCTAAATCAAAATTAAGCTGCCTGTACGAGAAGGTAACGCTTTATAGGGCATTAGTCGCTGGTTTTAAGGAATTCAAAGGATCTTAAGGTTCCACATCGATAAATATCAACCACAATGCAAACGTCAAGTTTCACGTGACCCATGTCACGCTGTAACGCCATACAAGTCCGTAACACTGCCAAAAAAGCTCCCCAGGGGCAGTTTTATTATGGTTAATTTGCGCTCGGTGCAATAGCAACTGCTGCCATGGCTATCCTACTAGGAAAGGATACCCAATTCTAATGAAATATAAAGCGATTCACTGGCATTCAATGACCATAAGTCAATCGTAAGGCAGTGTTCAACTTAATTTTATGCAATGGTTGCTGCATGTTACATCTTTCTGCAGAAAATGGCATCTTGAGTAAAATAAACACGTTTCGCTTGAACATCTACAAACCCATGCTTTTCCAGGAGATGCTTGAATTCTGGAGCTGATCTCTCTTTTCCACCTGTGGACACCAACATTAGAAGGCTGAAAATGAGAGAAGGCAATGGGCCACGTTTGTCTTCGTTTAAAATCCGTTCGCAAATGAGGAGTCCCCCACCTAGAAAAATAAATGAGGTATGAAAAATGGCGCGTTGTTTGCCTGTGATGGCACCAGAGTAGCCTAAATCTCAGACGATTACTTCCAGTCATTTTTAGTCCCTCAGTTACTGAGGGAGTTAAAACGTCTCCAACATTGTCGAAGTAATCGTCTGAAATGATAGATGATTGGTCATACAATAATCTTATGTGCCATTTCTATATGCACTGTCAACCGTCACCGTGTAGTCTGCATACTAGATTAAAACACCTTTTGTTACCAAAGCACTTCTTCATCAGTCAGTTCGCGGGCTCATTTCGCTTAAAGACTAAAGACCGTGAATTCAGAATTAAAGTTCGTTTTGGTTACAATTCATGAGGAAAAAAACATTGTAAAGCTGTTACGGCGTTTCTTGTAAGTTTGGAGTTTAATATGGGTGTGTTAAGTGTTTTGCTGTCAGAAAGCCACGATTTTTGACGCTCGTGTGTAGGATTTCATTCACATCGATCATTTACAGCTTTCCTGCTTGAACTGTAATCCTTGATGGCCTCTCAGTTTGTAATTAAACCAGAGACATAATAAACCTTGTTTCCTTGATCCGAACTGTAAGTTACGTGCGGAACCTAGTATTTTCTGCTTGGATTTAATTTCATGCACGTACGCGCGTGCCGGATCCCTTAAAGAACGGTAAAACCTTCTTTCTATTAAAATTACCTGAGGGTAAGCACCTGTAGACATTTGAAAGAATCAAGTCAACTTTATCCTCTGACCAGTCGTGGAGAACGTGAGACAACACATACAGCTCAGCCTTTGGTATGGTTTTAGGTTTGAAGAAATCGCCGACCGCAAAGGAAACATTGGCTTGATTTGGGCAAGCTTCCACTGATGGTCGGAAGTGATGGGCTAAACTCACGGCTGGCTCCAAGTCACAAACTGTTATCTTCATTTCAGGGTAGAACTGACAGAGAGCATAGGCGAGAGTTCCCACAGCCCCTAGAGCAGAGAGAAATAGGGAATTTTAAATTTCCATTTCATATATCGTTTGTTGTTTACCACATTTACAACTAATTTTCCGAAAATCTTTCTTGGAAAGAATTTTTGTGTAAACCCAGCGAAAAATTCTTGGCAGACACGTAACCTCTAAAAAGGTAGCCGTGTTTTCCCCATCCGGAATGTTAAAAACCGTAATTAACGCGTTTCTCCATCTCTATCTTATTTCTATTTAAGGCTGTTATGGCCATTTTTCTGGTAAATAGGAGCGATTTACACAATTTTTTAACGGATTTTGAACAGGAGTCAGACTTGCGAATCGTAATAACTTTCTCCCATCTCAGAGCTTTACATGATGCTCTCCGGGAAACTTTCCTCAAGGTGACCAATATTAAACTAAACTGCTAAGCGGCACCGAAACCAGCTTTAGGCGCGCGCTGATTTCAAATAACTGTCACTTGTGTTAAGGAAAGAATTGTAGGTAAGGAAAAAAATCGGGAGGCGGGGGGGGGGGGGGGG